ATAGGGAAAAGCCCTGACCCCATAGTTCTCCTTTTAACTGAACAAACTAAAGGGAGAAGCTGATTGGGTGCCATGCACAATCGGCTGCAGAATTTGTCTGCTCCAATTATGATAAATTCCCCTCCAATGTGTACATTTTGACATTTGTATCTTGGCCATACTGTCAGTTTTCTGCACCTTCTGATAAACAGTTCTATGGCAGAACACATAGAAAATGTAAATATATAGCCAATTGTTGGCCTCCAGGTTAGCTTTAATGATATGAAAGTGTAATAAAAAATACTATTTACTAACAATGCAGTTAGCTTTTCTTTTTTTACCAGGACACCATCCTCCAAATAAAACAAATGTTTAAGAAACAAAAATTCCTGATTCACTTCGTCCCTAATTCCCGTGCCTTTGCTCTCCTGGAAAACAGTCTCTCGTTAGGGCTGCCTAAATGCAATAATAGGATTTATTTATTGTTCACCTAATTGGATGTACTGGATAATAAGAAGTAATAAAAATATATAATTTAAAAGAAATGATAATTATTGATTTCAGTAGGATCGTATCTGCGTGGCAAACGCAGCAAAAAGGCTCCTGCACCTCTGTGCGACGAGTGACCTGCGGAAAACCTCGTGATTTGCGGGCCGCGTTTGGGGTGCCATTAGAAATGAATGGCACCGCAAGAACGTTTCGCATTTGTGCGCGATTCCACGAATGCCGGGGCGTTCTCAGAACACTCAGCTGTGAACCAGGCCTACAAGCGGTTAAAGAGGAACTTCACCCCTATCTTTAAAATTCCAACAAAGTCACCTTTAGAAATGTTTAGTAATGACAATCTACAAAACACACACCTATATAATTGCTGACTTTTTATTCTTTGCATACTTTTATTTCTCTTTTCTTCCGCATTCTTCTCATGGTGGCCATTTTTAGTAAGGGCAAACTAATCAGTCTCCCTTTACTCCCTGGAACTCTGACACATGTGACAAGGACATGAGACAATGCACGTATGTCATCTCAGTGATTTTATGAGATTACAGATAAGATTTCCCAGCAATGCACTGTGGTGTAACTTTCCTAGGATGCATCGCTTAGGCATGGGCTACATCCCTAATGCCTAAAAGGACCAGGAAGTGGAAAAACAATTATTGTAAGTAAAAGAAAAATATGTTTGTTTAACATCAAAATATGGTTGAGATGATTTCATATGAGCATGCAGAGCCGAATGCTGATGTGAGATAGATATATATATATATTTTTTTTTTTTTTTTTTGTGAAAGCGGAAAAGGTCCACTAAAGCATTGCAATTATGGAAATTGTAGTTCTTCAGCTGCTGTCAGCAGGATGAGTGTGCGGGACAGTGGAAAAGCTTCTTTCAGAACATTTTGAAAGGCGATGTATTTTTTGATTTATTGCCTCTGGAAATAAGATTAGGCTTACTATTTACCTACAGAATTTGCATAGAATGGTCTATAGATGCTGCTATTAATGACTGCTATGCGATGGAATCCAGTGAAGTAGAAAACTGCTGGAATCTGGCTCTATTTCTTGCTACAGGCGTAACTCTTTATGGGAATATTATTACTTCCAAACAAAAAAATATAGATCAAGGGCTAGCAAATTAATATGGAATTAAGGAGCCAGACAGTCCAATCCAGGACTCGGCAGGATTTATTTTTAGCGGCCAGCTCCATTGACAACTAGAGAAAACCTCAAAAGTTAGGCACCAGCTGTCATTTCTAAGGAGCAATGGCAACTTGGCTCCTGGGATTTTGTCTACTCCTGACATAGGTATACAGCTTCATGCTGCACATTATCGTTAGAGTTTTGTATTATACCCATTACCCGCCTTTCTCCTTTACATATTTCTATTAATTAGCCAACGCTGCAGTCGTGATGTCTCTGTCCTGTGGAAGATCCGCCAGCTTCTTTGATTTTACATTTTTCCATGTCACAAAATGTAAAAATGATCTCCGCAGACTATCGCCTAAATCCCTATTGTCTGCTTTCTACCCCGGCTGATGTTAATGTCATGTGAATTGCTGTCAGTGTAAAGGAAGACCAGACTTGTGATTTATTCACCCCGATGGAAAGGCCACAATGAAGGAAAAAAATAAACGTCACCACTGAGGGCATTCCTGCGGAAAATACGTTCTTGGGAAAGGAGGTAAATGGTGGAAAGGCAATGTTACATTCACAATGATGATAAACTGGTATGCCGGTCAATATAGTGTGTCTATTAGGGATGCACCGATACCGTTTTTTTCGGTATCGAGTACCGATTTCTATTTCGGTACTCACCGATACCAAGTACCGATACTGGTAATTCCGCTAGCATGGAGCCGGCTTGCTGGACAATCGGGGAGCCCTTGAATGCTCGGGAAGCCAACTCTATGCTGTTTGGCCGGGAAGGCCAATCAGCATCGAGCCGGCCAAACAGAACTGATAATATGTTGAAACAACTCCCACCCTACAGACACCCCACTCTCCTCACACTACATTCTCCTCACCTCCCCATATCCATCCTCAGGAGCAGTCATCATCGTACCACAGATGTCCCTCATGCAGCTGGGCTGACACCGCTCTCCCAAGCTGCTTTACCTCTCCCGGATCTGTCCATGTCTCAGTCTCTCGAGATGTACAAACACCGCCTGACTCCGGTGTGTGTACAGCGCCCTTACCGCCTGCGTGGTCGGCCCTCAGCCTGCTACTGCGCAGTGCTCTTAATCAGAAATCCTCTAATAGGATTATTATTATACCGCTGATCACGCAGGTACGGACACTGAACACACTGGAATCAGGCGGTGTTTGTACATCTTGTGAGACTGAGATGTGGCCAGATCCAGGAGAGGTAAAGTGGCTTGGAGAGCGCTGCCTACCCGGCGGGCTAAGGGGCATGTGTGGTACGGTGATGACTGCTCCTGAGGATGGATATGGGCGTAATGTGAGGAGAATGAGGTGTCTGCAGGATGGAGGTTGTGTCACTATATTATCAAATCTGTTTGGCTGACTCGATGCTGATTGGCTGGGAGGCCAGCTTCCTCGCTAAACAGCATGGATCCGGCTTCCCGTCTCCATGTTCAAGGGAAATCTCCCTCTGACTGGAAGTTCTGGTATCGGGGAAGGTATCGGAGCACTTGGGTGAGCATGAGTACTTGCCCAAATTCTCTGTATCTGCAACTGGGTTAGTATCGAGTGTGTGTGTGTGTGTGTGTGTGTGTGTGTGTGTGTGTGTGTGTGTAAGATTGAGAT